ATATCAATCCTCTCTCATTTTTCTTTCATAGCAATTCCTATACACATATACACGTATATAAATCTATTTAACCATGACTTAGATATAATTAGTGTTGTTATATATCCTAGGTACAAGACAACGTATGTTATGATCACCTGGGACATGGGTTCTTCCTGGAGGATGGTGCTGAGTTCAACAATACATTCGACGGTAATCTTGTGTTCAATACCAGGAAGGGAACTGGTGATCTTGAACCTAGCGATGTGTAAGTAAACATGAGACACTAGTAATGAAAACAAGTTTTATAACTAAGAAACTTCTGGAAGAAAGATTGTATTATGATACAGCAGACAAATGAAATTTTAAGATACGGATGGTTTAAATATTCTAATACTTATGTCATAACAAGAATATGAATAAACATGTATATGGAATTTTATTAAAGTCATGTACATGCACACGGGGGAGGAAGTGTTGCACGAGGAATGGAGTTTTTATGATAACTTGTCAAGGTTTTCCGACGAACTCCCTGACAGTTATCACAAGAACTCCTTGACAAGTTATCATAAGAACTTCATCCCTCGTGTAACATTTCCTCACATGTGATGCAAGTTACTCAACAAGTTAATATTTTATATACATGTATATATTTAAGAGAGCCCGCCGGCATGTGGATAACGAATCCTCACACGTATGTTCGGAATAACGTAGCCGCTGGCGGAGAAGGTTTCGGTATCTGGGTGCTGTTCCCGCTCGAACCCTTACCGCCATCAAGACAGTACAACCTAATGTCACCGTATGAAGCCAGAAAAACGAACCTACTTGAGTATACCAACAACGTGGCTCACTCTAATCTTGTGGTGTGTTTAAATACATTATACTTTATGTTTAACTAAGAAAATGACGAGAATATCATTGATTGAATGATTGATAATATGATTGATAATATGATAGAGGAAATGATTGATAAAATAATTGTGAAAAATGATTTATAAAATAATTGTGAAAATAAATGAGAAAATGATTGAGGAAATGAGGAAATTATTATTAAAATGAATGATAATATTATTTAGAAAATGATTGAGGAAATGAGGAAATGATTGAGAAAATGTTAAAGAAAATGATTGACATCATGATTGAAGAAATACTAAATTAAATAATTGTGAAAAGGATTGAGAAAATAATTAAGAAAAATGATTGATTAAATGATTGACAAAATGGTTAAAGAAATGCTTTATTAAAGCTTTAGGAAATAATTGATAAAATAAAAAATATTCCAGTTCGAGCTTGGTTTATATGTATAATTTGTAAAATGCAGGTGATTATATAGAATGATGCTATCATTTGTCAAAATATTCACATTTATTTTTCACATTGTTCAGATGGGCATGAAAATCGGTGGAAGAATTGAGGAAGACCGCACCACATATTGTTGTAATAACTGGAAACCATTGGAAAATCCAAAAGATAATGGTTCCAAGCCAATCGATGTATACTTTGAACGTATTTCAGGTACTTACATGCATACCATTTTTTTTACAATTGTTTAGTATTTCTGTGCCCATGTATAACAACCATGTCTTAACTCACAATGTCTGATTTGAAATATACCATACATCTAATGCAACATTTATTGGACGTCTTTTAATTCTTTGAATATATAACATGGTAAACATGCAGTTTTTTTCCAGTATTACTAAATTATATTTTTTAGTTATAAAGATTTCGACAGTTCTATGGTCCCAGTAAAAGATGTATATTTCAGATAGCCGTTTATATACAGCCATATAACATGTCAAAAATCTTTATAACGAAATAATAAATATTGCAAACTTTCTTTCTGTATATACACGTTACGATCATCCAATGAAAAACGACGTCACACACGTGTATTGTTATAATGTTACAGTATTAATTTTGAAAAGAATAGTTCTTGAAAAAATATAAGAATACCATTTTTCACGACAGGATACAAGAATAGCAGATTTAACCTTTGGTTTGAGGGCAGTTTGCTCCAAGTGTCGAAAATTTCGTAAGTACAAACCAATACGGGGTAAATGTAACATGTAATTAACTTTGTTTGCATGTAGATAGTTAAGGTAGTTACCAGCATCAGGTATCAATGAATTGAATGAAAAATATCTTAAAAACTTGTAAATTTGTAACATAAAGTTGTATTTATCTAAAGTAAAACCTGAGTTTCGTTAATAAAATACTGTAGTACCGTCTGATAAGGCAGCGATGCCATTTCATTCGAAACGGCATATAGTCTCCAAGTAAAAGAATATGTGTGACCTTAACAACGAGCGGAACTAAGGGGCCGGGGGACCCTAAATGAACAATTTTGTATTTAATTGTGACCAGAAACACAATTCCAAATCTGCAAAATATGTTTCACAGGCAGATAACCAGTTGCACGGCATTATTCAAGAATATATGATATACATTGAAGAAAATAATAGATTGCATGCATTGCTTCTAAAAATAATGACTGAACAATTTATATTTACCCCAACCAGCAAAAATCACACCTAAAATATACCAATATGGACAGTCTTTATGAAGGTGCAACATACAAAATGTAGTCCATAATGCGCCCGATTCCTTTAAAAAATGTCACTAACACACAGTGTAATCAATGGCATTTTCAAAAATGACCAATAAAGTGTCTGTCATACGTTAAGATCTTTTCATAAAATTTATCAAAAATTTCTTTCTTGTTTGGCGCCAACTGTCAGATCTTGAGTTTTAACTTTTTCACCTTCATTTACATACAAAGCTTTTAACATGTTTAGTTTCGGGTAAAAAACCAAAAATACTGCCCATTTCCTACACATAAACAAGAAAGAATTACAGTGACAGAGAAATATAAAATGTTTCCAGTACCTTTAAAACACCATGGTTCGAGGTTATAAAGAAATTCTCCAAGCTCAAACTCAGATCTCAGTTATTTGATTGGTCAGAAACTCCTACAGAATGTACACTGACCAATGAAAATTCTGAGATTTGAGGCAGAACTCTAAAACAAGTTTTATAACCTCAAGGCCATGTCTGAGTTATTAAAAATTTGACCCGGGGCCTTCATTTGGATATATCCCCTGTCCCCTAAATAAATCGGACTTTGGAGAAGGAATCAGAGGGGATGAAATCTGATACAGTGTCTGGTCCAACTGTATGCATCTGCTGGATTACAAGGCTTTGTGTTGGTGACATAGGACTATCATCATCTTAACTGTCAGTTATATATAAAAAGAGATTAAACGTAAAACAATGTTCTTTATATAGCCTGATACGTACTAACGCATTGTTTTATACATGTAGTTTGATGTGTACCAACATACTTTTAATGGTTTATTAAACTTGTTTTAGGACTGCTGACAGTTTTAATGGTGTCATCATCTCAAAGTAAGCCTATTTTTATTTCTTTTGCATGTATTAGATTAACCTAATTTAATATAAATGCTTTTTAAACAGTACGATTATAAACAATACTATGTTCTGACGTCAGCATGGCATACTCGTTTCTGAATAATTCAAATGTTTTCAAGATATCTTTCGAATGTCATACGTTTTTCAGCCAATTTATCAAATTCTAAGACATGTCTATACATAATTGCTTTTTTTTAAAACGACAAAGATAAAAAAACCCCGGAAAATACCTCTGAAATGTACGAGAGTAATTTGTTACTTGAGGTTTTATACTTAACTGAAGATCAACATAATTGTAAGATGTTATACGTGTTTCTATTTAGCGAAAGGGTGACGGCATTTGCGGGAAGACTTCATCATTCCGTGATTATAGGAGAAAGCGACAATTACGGTGTTCCCGGAGTAAACTTCAATAGAAGCTTCCCACTAAATAAAAGAATGTTAGTATAAATCAGTGATGATACACATTCAGATTTATAAATTAAAAATAACAAGAGAACTGTTTTTGATTTAGAACCTTATTACAATCAGAACATCAGGCAATAGTATATCTTTACGAATATCTTATCATAAAGCATTTGACTAATTATACGTGTGAAGTTTGATTTTAAAACTACATGTATTAAAACCGTTAATTTGCAACATACACGCATTTGACTCTTGTGTCACTGGATAATTAATGAATCTTAATGAAAGATATTTGTAAAAATGGCTCCCGTTTATTATAAACATTAACATATATTTATGATTATATACGTCTGCCTAATTCTCACTACGTCATTTAAAATAGGTTGAGAACTTAATATTTGGTTTGGAAAGTAAGCCCCTTTGTTACATTTGGTCATGCCAGCGCTTTCAACTTATGTAATGTCGTTGCTTTTAGGCAGGAAACTGGCGATATGTGCCGAACGTTCATGAAAAATAAATAAATTACCCTTTCAGAACTGATCCACATTCTGGACTGGTAATGTGGAGAGGACCATGTAGATATGATAACCTCTACTTTGACAGCTACCCACCAAATGATTATTATGATATTGCAGCTATAATGAAGAGGAGGGGAGAACGCTACTATTTCTCAGTGACAAATAATTTCAAAGACATACAATTTGCCTTTGATGACAAGGTAAAGTTAGTCAAGTTGCAAAAAACAGTTTGAATTAGTGAAAATTTATCGTAATTTTAGACACTTGATAAAACAATTAAAATAGTAAATATGCTACACATAGCCAATGAATTCCTTTGAGTTTCTTACAATGTTATCAAAAAAAGTACGATTTCTTTTGCATTTTTATAAATAATAACTGCCCTTTGGACAGTAGTAAACTTTATTACCCCTATATGTTGTAAGAATTAATGAATATATGCATTTTCTACATTTTTAAGAAATTTGAATATTCATTGTATAATATTTAAATCATTTGCAAAACGTGCTTTTCGCTAATTTATTTGACGAACTGTACCAAAAAAGCATTCGAAATCAATCAACTATCAATTTACAACCACAGCCTAATGGTGCCGCTTACGCCATGTCCGGAAACAAGACGGATATAGGATGGGAGAAACAAAAAGATGGAGAACTAGTAATGGGTTTTACATGGTATAAAAAAACGGGAAATGTAACGGAAAAATTGTATGTAGTCAAGCCAGACGTACGTGTTGTCCCGAACTGGAGATGATTGCAAGCTCAGACCAAATTGGAGATTGGCCTTATGCAAGACCAAATATGGAAATGTAAGATTGTAGTTAGAGTTTTCGGAATTTATAGTTACCTTAACTTGTGTCAAAATGGTTATGAAGAAAAATGTAACTATTAGGCAGATCTATTAAACATTTACATCTGCAGTGTTTAAGTCACAAATGAAAACTTTAAATGTCGTCAGCTTTTTCTCAATTTGAGTTATTATGCCACCATCTCAAGATAATCTCTTGAGATATTATTTTGTTTAAATTTTACTTCAAGTTCCGAATAAACGGAAATTTCTTCAATCTGGGATCACGTGGTATATATGTCCTCGACAAATACCCTGTCGGACAACAGGAGTATATTATGGAGAAGGCAGGGGGGCCTCAAATTGTTATTGATGGGACTCGGTCTTACACATTCCATACAGTAGGAGAAGTTCCGAATTGGATGAAAATGACAGCAGAAGGACTTGAAGTGTAAGAATTTGTCCGTCATAATTACAAAACATTAAATAGTACACTTGAATCTTTTTTTTCTGTTTAACTGATTATATGTATTAAACACGCCGCAATGAAATTAAACTGTGATTGTCATTCACATAATAGGACTTTTTTTTCTATAAAGGTTTGTATATGGTTTATTTTAAGAGTTGCTTGTAATACAACAAGCTAAAAAAAACAAAACAAAATTAAAAAAACCCAGAAAAGTCAATAACGGTGGACGATATGAGTAATTATTGTTAATATATTACTTAAGGGGTGACAAAGTCCGAATAGGTATGTGTGTACCTAAAGGAGCAACTTGGGCATTAAGATCCATGTACCCTCTGAAATTAAAAACAGTGGCCGATTTCATAAAAGTAGATTCACTCGCTCAACTTGACAAAGACGAACCTGGCAAGAACGGAAAGAAGTATTACTTCGACAATGCCACAAGGTATAGATCTACGTTTTATTATGTTTATTTTATAATTTGGTTTCATTTCACGAATGGTTCAGAATACATGCCTCATATTATGTGCAGCATTTTCTTATTTCACATATAGAAGCTATCCAGCAGGGACATTTTCCTTCTTTGGCATACACTCGCTTTTTGAGTAGGATACATTATGTATCTAGACTTGTCGGCAAGCTGTATGATGAAAGTTGCCAAAATATTAAACTTTTACAAATCTGGAAACAAAGTGATCCCCCGGAAGCATTAATCACAACAAAATTACATAAGAATTGCAGACTCGGTTTGATTGAGTCTGTACATGAGGGATAATGAATAAGTGCAACATCCCTCACGCCCCCCTAGCACCGACTTGAGCGGTACTAATTTCTCAACACTTAATAGTGCTGGCATCAATGATCCCGAAGGACCAGAAAAATATAACAACACTGAAGTACAGGGTAACTGTTTACAGCTGCCACACAGCACTTGACACCTGCTGTTGTGAAGTATAAAAATCTATATAAAAAGCCGGTGCGTATTTCGTATTTCGGCAAGAATATCAATTTATAGAGTTTGGGTGTCACGCTAAGACAAAGGCGTGATCACCAGTTGATATCCAAATGTTATCCAACTTATCACAATAACAAGATATTTGTCGTCATAGTTAGTCACAATTATATCATGCCTGAATCAAGGAGTCAAGATTACCCGTTTTGGCCCGGTCTTAGGAACTTCAAAAGAAAAACACATTTAGCATGAAGCATTGTATGCGGACCTCCTCTAACGTTATGTGACTCGTTTTATCACTATATTATTATTGACAAAAAGGTCCCAGTGCACAGTGTGACTCATTGACCTACTTTTGCATCAATGATGTTCTATGTTTTTACGGCAGTGGATTGCAAATAATCTAGGGCACTAATGGTCATTTATTTGCTTTTTGTGGAGATGGGAACTCAGATCCCAAAAAATTACCAAGCATATTACTGAGCTTATCAATAACTTCGAAAAGTTGTTCTTGAACAAAATGTTCGTTGACTGTAAAAAGACTTCAATGAAGAAAGAAGTAACTTACATACTACATGAATAAAATAAGTATGATTATCACTAAAATCTAAAAACTGCTTAACTTATTATAGTAACATTAATGTTATTTTCCCGCTCCTAAATAAAACCAGCATTTAATTTCTTTGTCAGTTCAAATGTATTTGGAAAATGAAATTGTATCAACACGCAATGTATGTACATATTTATTTTGCACAAACCAGCATGGTTTACTACAAATTCTATGGGGCTACAAACCGATCAGAAAATGATAACCAGGTATGTGGTGGTGGTAAATGTCCGATGATAGAGCTCACCTTGGCTGGTAATCTTTCTGCAAACAATGGCGATTGTAGGTCTACCCTTTACAGCGCAGAGCAGATGGCCCTGGTCCCGGTGAGTTCAACTAATTCATAAAGGAAACAAAACAATAAGCAGTTGATTATTTCGCACAAATAATCAACAGTGTATATCAGATAAGCATTGTACGTATTTCCAGTCTTGGTCAGCCGATAAGTTTGAGAAGTTTGTAATCAGATTACGTTACATTTTGTCAATCGAGAGGCTGATGTATTTATTGAAGTTAAAATATTCTTCGTCAATTACTTTGAACTAGTGTCTTGTTTAGCTCATATGTATATACATGTACTTTTCATTTAGTTTTTATCAGCAGTCTCAATGTCACGCAAATTTATCAAGTAAAGTAAAGAGAATGAAAGTTCAAAAGTTGACTTTCCTTCAAAAGTCTTCGTTTAGTCTTTTTAAAGCATTGTAAGAACACAAGTTAAATGATTGTATAACTAACTACTATCCTTTTATTTACCAAAAGCCTGAGTTACCAGTATCGACTGAAACGTTTATGGCAAATGCTGGACCAGAACCTCCTGCGGTTTGTAAACTTATCATTTTGTTTTATAATCAATTAATTAATGTTTTATCAATTAATTGATTGTCTCAGCTGAAATAGAAGCAGGATAATTAATCTTGATAATCTGGATAAAGTTTTTTATGTCAAAATTGTCCAAACATGTTCAAACATTGTCCTTAACATTGTTCAAATATTGTTTGTGACATTATCCAAACATAGTTCATAACATTGTCATTACATTGTCCTTAACACAATCCAAACATTGTCCACACATTGTCCTCGACATTATCAAAATATAGTGCTAAACATTGTCCAATCATTGTCCTTAACACTGTCCAAACATTGTTCTAACATTTTCCAAACAGTGTCCTTTCCATTATCCAAACACTGTCCTTAACATTGTTCAAACATTGTCCATAACCTTCTTGTTCAAACATTGTCCTTAACATTGTTCAAACATTGTCCTTAACATTGTCCAAACAAAGTTCTAAACATTGCTCAGTCATTGTCCTTAACACTGTCCAAACATTGTCCAAATATTGTCCTCAACATTGTCCAAACATTTTTCTTGACTTTGTGCAAACATTGTCGTTTACACTGTCTAAACATTGTCGTTTACACTGTCTAAACATTGTCATTAACACTGTCCAAACATTGTCCTTATCATTGTCCTTGACTTTGTCCAAACATTGTCGTTTACACTGTCCAAACATTGTCGTTTACACTGTCTAAACATTGTCATTAACATTGTCCAAACATTGTCCTTAAAATTGTCCAAATATTGTCCTGAACATTGTCTTTTAAGCTTAGTTTAATTTCGGTGTGGTGGTACGAAGATTGGGTTTCTTGCGGAATTGCTATTGTAAGTTAAGGAGTTGTGCCGGGAATCATTTGAAGAATTTGATAATCATAGAGAATATGTAAGCAATGTGGATATTCTTTAGGTAACAACCTTACAACAATTATGATTAATAGAAATATACTCCGTTTTATATTTTTAGCCAATACAAAGTCTTTGTTAATTTTGATCTATATTTTACTGGCTGTATATTCATTAATGTAAAATAAAATCATTGGCGCATTTTGTTGTATTGGAAATTATGCATATGTGAGTACACACTGGTCTTGAAAATATTTACAGGATTTCGGTCACGGATCTTCACGACCTTTTACTAGTCGATCACCAGTAAATGGTAGAAACGGCCAATGGTCAGAGTGGTCATCTTGTTCGGTAACTTGCGGAAGTACGTTTTTTCCCATCCTACTTTCAGTTTCAATATAAGTATACAATAATGTTACCAGAGATTATGATAAATTTCATTTTGCTGTATACAAATGTTACAATTTTTTGAAATTTGTGTTCGCTTTAGATATATTTGATAAATGAGTTGTATACAGTCAAACATATTACATCAAACTTATCATGTCATTTTTTTAGATTGAATATGAATTTGTAGTGTATAGCTATTTTATGAAAGTAATAACTGAAATAAATATATTACAGATGGATATCAGTATAAAAGACGTGAATGCAACAACCCGATGCCGCAACATGGTGGAGGCCCTTGCGGCACACCCCATTATAAAGAGCGCAACTGTAAATTAGATGCATGCACATGAGGTTATTTTTTCTCAATATACTGATTTATTTTCCATAAGCTGAATATCAATGCTAAAACATTATTACTTAAGAAACAAGAAATATAATCGCATAATGATTGAATCCTGTTCGTGGCATCAAGGTTTTTGCACGTAACACATTAATAATTGTTGCAGGGTGTTTTGTCAAAAATAATGTTCGAGAAATGATGCGTACACAGTAGAAAAGATAAACATTCCATTACCTTGGTAGAACTAAAAATGATAATCCTAGATCCTATAGAGCCATGTTTGTATGTATATCCGTTCAGCATGACAAGGATTTAAATTATTCATCTTTTGTATTTTGATATTGAAAACCGTTAAACTTTGGATGGACTGTTAAAAATTTAAAGCTAGGTAATAATCCATTACACAAGTTCAGCAGTTTATGCTAAAGCAGCATATGTTCCATTGATTTTTATTATTGAATTCATTTTAAAGATTATTTAGACAGCAAAAGACATAGTGTTAAATTTAGATAGTTGGCCAACGTGATTTTTTCACTCAAAGCACTTTTGTTGAAAGCCTGCCCGAGTGTCATTTAAGTTCCAGAAATAAATAATGATCATCAAGACTGTAGATACAATGTTCTACTTGTCTGCCTCTAATTTTACCTTTTGTACTTATAGCTGCAGATATCTTGTATTAAACCTTCTCCTTTACTCCGGAACTGAGGCTACCAATTTTATAGCCCGCTTCTTTCTACGTAGACATCATTGAATGTGCAATCGTAGCCCCATTTTTACAAAACGGCATCTTTTTGTCGTAAAGACTCTTTTATTGTAGACAGTGACTATATAAACTAAAATGTATGACATTAATAAAGATCTGTTTTCAAAGATATGAAATGTAATCATGTTTTATGAAATTGTCTTTTTTCTTTCTTTCAGAAGGTAGAAAACATGGATACATGAGACCCAAGATTTTATGAAGTATTAAGTAAAATATAGCCACTGTAATAAACTTATAGCATATCATTCTGTGTTTCTTTCCTTAGCCCCTGTTTAGCTACCGAGTATCTATTTCTAACCCTGTTGGTATTAAAGAAATCATCTTTTTAATTGTGTCATCCTCAAAATGGCTAAAGCGTAGCAGGCCTCTTAGCAGAAGAAAAAGCAACAAGCAATGAAAAGATTACAATTTCATGACATGGTAAATAACTGCATTTAATCAATATTTTTCTTACTGTGATTGGTGAATTTCAAGCAAAGAAGAATTAAAGATAACCCACACTGAAATATTTCATAATTGTTGTTTTCATGAAAGATTTATCCCGCTTGGAATGAGTTATTCAATAAGCCATCTATTTTAAATTACTTTTATACAACTTGAACATTTAAAGATTAGTTATGCTTCAATTACAATACCTACGTCAATAATAGCTATTGGCTAAAACAAAAGAAAGTAGGTGTGATAAAATGCGAGTTAGATAAAAGAAGAAAATATACTAAACAAATGGTGTAGTGAAAGTTTCCCAACAAGTTCTGTGGATCCAAAAAAAATAGATGAACTGATATATCGTTATCAAAAAACAAGGGTTGTACTCCTGTCACTTACCTAATAAGTCTAATTCAGCTTCTTCCAAAGAGTTATGTAATACATACACAATATTTATGTTGCGTTTCCTGCATTCGTGCTAGCTTTACGTTTATTAAATACTGTACATAAAGTAAAATTTGTTAGGTACTACATTAGCAAAAATCGTATTACATAGTTTTGACCTTTTCATCTTTATGAATAAAGTAGCTTAACATGTTTGCTAGGAGAGGCAACATTCAAAGTTATCTTTGTCTCAACTTCATAATTTTATCCCGGAAGTCTGTTTCAAAACCCTACGATGATTATTCACCATTCCCACAAGTTCTCTTTTGTTCAAAGTTGCTCAGTTCTCCTCAAGGGAATCTGTATCTATCAAAATGAAAAGGACGACACAAGAGATTTAATAAAATCTTGCATGCCAAATGAAGACAGTTTAATTAGCTAAGACATGACACTGTAGACAAATATCTTCTTTTACCAGGGGCGATTGAAATGGGGACACTTATGGTACGCCTGAAGAGAACTTCACTAGAAACTTTCCAGTAGAAAAACATATAATATTATACTTACCTTAAATATATGCAGGATTTTACCTTTATGCTTGAAATACACATGTATTACATTTGGAAACAAATTCAGGATCTGTACGCATGTTGAAAGTGTTAACAATTCAGGATATGTACGCGTGTTGACAGAAACAGAAAATATGATTGCCATACTAGTGCACGCCCGGTAAACGATAGAGCTACCTCTTTCGGAGACCCTGTATGCGGTAAATCGCTCTATCGCTTCTTCCGAGCCAGTGTTTGTCGCTAAAATCAAGTGTCATAGGAATGGTTTCGGCGCAATTTCATATAGCTATCCGAGCCCCCGAGCGTTAAGAAATTTCGGGTTTGTAAACTCAATTCAACAACAGCTCTAAAGTTCTATCATGTTTGTATACCGATCTACCTTGAATTAAGGGTGTTACATCGAGTATAGGTACAAAACAACATTCTGAAATAAGTATATACCATTTAGTGAATATAAAGTAAAATAAACTAGAAACAATACATAACATTAATAATATCATATCTTAGATTCACATCTAGAACATAATCATTAACATGTCTAGTGGCCAATCAGTGCTTTAAACTTAGCTACAGTCCTTAAATATCATGTGCATAGCTACATTTAACATATATTGCACTTTAAACAATACACCATACATTACATATGTAACTTACCATCTGAGTGATGAGTGGAGTACATAAATCTTATAACTTATCACACCAGTGACTGTTGACTGCATGGTTAAATATTAATAGGGAATAAAAGATGAAAGGTGACTTGATAGATACATGTCATTCTGAAACTCATACTCATTTACAAAGTTCACAATCAATGGACACGATTAAAATAGAACAGAATCACAATAATGCAATTCTCCATATTTACAATAAAGCAGTCAGGACAAATACATACCAACTTAAGAAATTAATAACTTGACCACAAAACACTTATTTTCTTTTATCACATCTTCACAACAAAAAAGACACAATGACTTTTACCACCAAGAAATCACATGAAATAAAAATAACTTAAAATCAACCATCCTTGAACCATTGAATTGATTTTTAAAGTATTCTTCCTTGAAAAGTATCAGACAAGACCGGCGGATTTTTTAATTAAACAGTAAGCAAGAGTTTTGTCCCTTACAACAAATTTTAAAAATAAGACCCTGTTACACAAGTGTCAAGTGTTTTCATTTTTTATATATTTTGTAAACTCCAAACCAAATATCGAAATTCGGTGAATCCTATGCCATGGAGATTTGATTATGATTAAAAAAACCGTAAATTTGTTATTGGGCACTTGAGATCTTCCTTCACCAGTAAAACTGGAACGACGCCATATGACTGTGTCGGTGCGATGTAAATCCACATCAAATCAAATGCATAGCCGTTCGAATCGATGAGAAAGAAGTACAAGAAATCTATTAAATACTAAATAAATATTAATAGTTTCAAAATTGTATTTTGAGATTTATCTAATTTGTTTGTATCATATGATTAGATTGGTTTTTGTTATCTTATAGTAACACAGATGAATCAAAACACTTTTGCATATATCTTTATCATTAGTGCTTTTATTTCACATCATTTTTAATAAAAAATAAGGAAAATAAAGACAAAATATTTGAGAATGTTTTATTCATTGTTTTTATATTTATGTAACAATTACATTATAAAAATGAAAGTTTTTGTGCAAAATGTCACTAGACTTTACACAGGCTTATATGGGAAAGTCTTATAAACCCTTTCTTCAAAACTACAAAACTACGATATTTCATATTTAGCATGAACATCTACCAATACTTTTCAAATTATTGCCTTAGGGTGAAATGACCTATCGTTTGGAAATACCTAATTTCTTAAAGATTCAAAATCAGTTTTTAACACACCGGAACCGAAGGATCAGGGTGAGCTACATTGTATAAGTATCAAAGGGGAATACTCTGGCGTCCATCGTAGTGCGTCAACATTAATCTTCTTGTCTGAAACTACTGGATAGATATACTTCAAATTTGGTCTATAGCATCCTTGTGACAGTCAGACTTGCTCATATCTTTTTAATTTGCCCATTGTAGGGGTCAACAGAGCTAAAACTAGAAAATCATTTTAACTAATTGATGGATGATCACCAAACTTTTCTGTAGCATTCTTAGGTAGTCTTTTATAAAATTTGATCATATTAATTTGATTGGCGTCTTTTAGGGGCTGCTTAAGCTTAAAATCGTAAACTTTTAAACATCTTCTTTTGAACTAAATGATGGATGATCACAATTGATGAAAAATGCACTTTGACAATTTATGATAGTTTTCATTTTTATCATGAACAAAAATATCGGTGTCGGGAAAGTAATATCTAGAGGGGCAAGTTGAGCTGGACTTACCTTAAGACAAGTTCAATTAAAAGAATATTTCTAGCACAAAAAAAACAGAAACTGTAATTTCTGTTGAGCAATTCGGGGCCACCATTGCCTTTTTGCTTTGATATCTTAAAGGTCTAAGAAGGTGGTTATGTATTTAGTATAAAGCTATGAAACTGTATAAAGTTTGTCCAAAATGATGACCTCCAGGTCAAAATTGGCCCTACCCTATTATGTCATTTCTTTACTATTTTTTACATATATTTGTGTCTCTACACCTAACTTGTTTGAATTATGTCCCTTGGTTCAAAATGATCCCACCCTTTCACTAATGTTGATATTGATAAGCCTTTTATAAAAGCTTTTACTCTAAGTTTGCTAGACCTTATCATTTAATATTTGGTATATTAAGCATTTGTTTCTATTAATTTTATTTCATTGTTCTTTAGACCTGGTCATTACTAAGATATAAATAAAATGTCGTCTGGTGTTACCATAGAATCTCTAAACTGTATCTCCTAAGCCACTGTATTCAAATTGAACAAACTGTACATTTAGGTGGTCCTACTGATGTATAAGTAGCTATAGGGATTTAAAAATGAAAAATAAGAAAAAGCAGTCAAGAGCTTAAATATTTCTTTGTACCATCACAGTGTGGTCATCTATAAAAGGGATATAAAACATGCCCCTTGGGTAAAAAAGCCCCACCTTAAGGGTCACTTACTGTACAAAGGCTTAAATAGGAAAATAATTTATGTCTTCTTTTTTGAAAGTGCAATGCCCAGAGCGGAGATATTTGGCATGTAGCATTGCCAAGTAGACCTCTACAGGAGTGATATTAATCATGACCATGGTGTCAAAATTGGCCTCGCCTCAGAGGTAACTTCTTTAATAGACTTGTATAGTAAAACAATGGACAATGCCTTGGGCTTTGATATTAGAAATGTAGTATCACCTTATGGTCTTGACAAAGTTGACCTCACTATAGAGACCACTTTGTTTCAATATACTTATACAGTAAAAATGTCTTAAAAATCTCCATCTTTGAAAGTACAATGCCAAGAATTAGCATGTAGCATCACCTTATGGTCCGCTACAAAAGTTTTTTTTTGGGTGTCATTTAATTGACATGCACTCACAGGGTAAAACGTCTTTAAAATCTTCTTTAAAAGTGCAATGCCAAGAGTTAAGATATTTCAGTACGAGCGAATAGTGCAGGCCATAGCCAGCTATTAGTTTCGAACTTTCAGACAAAAGAAAAACAACAAAAAAGTAGGTAAACTCTCAGTCATACAAACAAATAAGTTATTATCGTCAGTAGTCGCAAAATATACAATGTATGAAGAAGCTATTGTGTCAAAAATCAATGAACACAATGTTATGGAAAATTCTGCATGAGTGTTAACTTTTGTTGTCTCAGCAGGTCAATAATCTCTCCTGCCATTATTATAAATTCGTTCACCGCATATTACAGGTTCTTCTTTTTGTATTTAAAGCAGCACGCCTCAAAATTCATGTTAATTTTCATGACAATTTTGGAAATGTATTTAAAAATAAAATATTGTGAGTGACCAAATAAAACAATTTACATATTAGAATCGGCACTTACAATACAAGAAAGTGGCCATGATATGCAAAAACAGTTAGTAACGCAGTAGAAATATGGTGATAGTATACTGCAAAATCAGTCTGAAACCGCACAAAACATGTAAAATATACATGTAATTTGATTTCGAATATTTTACATTCTTTAAATTTTTGAACATTTTTCTTAATGAAAAGTTTTTGCTCATCTGGAGGCGTGCAGCTTTAATAGATAAAGTACAAGTTATGTCTGTACAGTATTATATATATTCTAAGCATATGGACAAATAGACATAGATCATTTAACAAAGTCGTCAATAATCTTATGGGAAAAATAAAGATTGTTATATCATGGTGTCTCAACTTTGTGTTTAAAGTTTTTTCGATTAAATATATAACTTGCACTCGTTTCTTTACGGAGATATCAGTAACGTCTTGACAGTTCAGGTATTGGAATCTATCCTCATAAATGTGATATATCGCGGTATTTATAATGGTCTAGTCTTCGTTATCGTGATTTGTTTACAGTTTATTTTGCCACATGGCTGACACATAATTAAAAGTATGTGCTTGAATTCTATATACCAATGGTTAAACACATCAAACAATGTGTAAGCCATGTGTTATGATACTTCTGTTTTGTAACACCGCAATAACTTTATCGCTGCTGCTGTTGCGGATGGTATCTGTAAGGGACAATGTTCTACACTTTGTAATTCAACTGCAAACAATCATTTTCACTGATCACAGATATTATAGAAGACAAATACATGTAGGCCACGTGAATTGAAGCTGATTTAGTATACCACAAGGCTTGCAACGTGTGGACACAAACTATGAACATCTGTCGTGATTGATATGTATATCAAATTCCAGTACCAACAATGATTTCAAAAGAACAATAGAAACACAATCATAATTTCAGGTAGAAATCACGTGATGTTTTGGATGCAACTAAATAATTTTTAAGCAAATTATTTGAACATAATTACATGACCACTCTCTCAACTTGTATGAAAATAATCTGATGGTCTGAAATAGAGTTGTTCACAATTTGACATGACAAATACGGCTAAATATCTGCATACACGGTATGCTATAAATAAATGAAAAGAATTATAATCTACCTTTTCTCTTAAATAGTAAAAATATTAAAATGTGTTTATTTTTTGGGTTGGGTTTTACATCACACCAACTCAATACAGGCCACATTGTGGCTTTCCAGCTTTACTGCTTGAGGAAGAACCCAGGTGCTCCTCCGTGCATTATTTTAGGCATGGACGGACACCTGCGTAGAACCAGTGACGTTCTATATGCTAACTGGATAGCTTCCTCACATGAAAGAGCGGGATTAGAACCTGCAGTGGTGAAGGGGCAAGTGGTTTGATGTCAATGACCTTTAGCTACTCAGCCACGGACACCAATATCAGAAATTATTTGAATGATTGGGCAATAAATAACATCAGAAGTTTATCAATATGCAAAAATGTTTTTAAACTTTTAAGCTTTTTGTTTAGTTTTAAGCGTAACATCTCAATTTACACTGCAGTATAGTGCACAAATAGAAATGTACAATTTCTAAGCTTTTAATTGTTTACAAATGTTTAGAATGAGACTATACATAGTATAATGTTGAAATAATTACAATTTCCAAAACCATTTTGTTAATTTACGAATTGTTTGGAATTTAAAATGGAAGGTCTTATTGTACAAAGCAAAACATATGAATTGTGTAAATCTGTGTATATACCCGTACTTGCAAATATAATGTATAATTTAATGATTTATATGTAAAGCAATTTGTAGAATTTATTTGTCGTGCAATAGAATTATTCTTTGTTGTATATTACAATCTCGAAGTGAATGAAACAACGCCTGTTACATACTGTTATCAAGTTTGATATTGCATTGTTCATGTTGACTCCAGGTGAGATAGACTTCAATGGTTGACAAAAGCTGACATAATCTGTAGATATTGAATAAATGGAATAATCTTTTGCATTCAAGAACGCAAATTTATTGCTTTAGCTTTTGTTTTCCAGATATCATGATTTCCGGGCATTGCAAAATAAATCCATTATTCCATACGCTACATTTCTACTTTAAGCTCAGCACAAAGTGATCAAGGTTGAGCTTTTGAAATCATTCTGCGTCCGTCGTACATCGTAAATGGTGTCAAACTTTTTCTTTAAGCAACATCTCCTATACCAAAAGGCCAATATCGTTATATTTGAGTAAAAATGTGTCTGGCATAAATTGCTTTAATAATTCTTCAAAGAAGTTCATTCCATGCTAAATTCTGGTTGCCGAGGCAACCTATAGAAAAACATAAACATCTTCTTCTTAAAAGCCCCAAAGAGCTTGAGCTTAGATATTTGGTATGAAACATCTTCTCATGGGTGTTAACAAAGTTTGTTCGAATAAAAGCCCTTGGGTCAAAATTGACCCCGCCCACATTGTTTGGTTAAAACATTGTTCAAATGATAGTTCAAAATTTGCCCAGCCTAGGAGGAACATAGATTTTCTTTATATGTACACAGTAAAAGTTCTTCTCTAAAACTAAAAAACTAAAGCTTAATTAGTTGTGTTTAACTGACACATATTCTAGTAGTCTAAGTTTGTTCAAATTATAGTATATATATTTATAGTACATATATAGTATAATAGAAGGGGATTTATTTATTTATTTACAATGCGATGCGACGCTCGACAATGCAAGCGACGCTCGATATTGCCAAACGAAATATCGCGATGTCGAGAGTCGCTTCGCGTTGTCGAGCGTCGTATCGCATTGTCGCTATATCACTTCGCATTGTTGTGCGTCGACCCTTAAACGACGGACGACATAATAAATGGCACGATAAGGGCACCGTATCATAGTGATCGCTAATTTTATATATGTATATACTATAAAGTCAAAACAAAATCTTTTATTGTACGATAGTGGCTTTAGCATAGATATTTGGTATGAATTACTGTCTGGTGGACCACTACAAAAATGTTCAAGTATAGCCCTTGGGCCAAAATTGGTCCCGCCCCGGGGGAACATAGAATTTTCTTATATGTATAGTAAAAACTTGTCAATCATACAGGATATTGGATGAGTGTAAGTTTAATACAGACTTTCATTGAACGAGTTGAATAAAATTATATTATGAATTTCCTCTGGCGAGCATAATATTATTTTATCCAACGAGTTCAATAAATTAAGTAATGGTATTGGTATCAAATACCAAAACAACAGGGTCATTTAAAGTGAAAAGAACCATTTTTCATTGTGCGCGCCTATAGTCAACGAAAACACTCAGCGCGTCTTAACGCTATGTTTATAAAATGAAAATGACGTCAAAATTGGTCGTGCAATTCCAATTTTTACGGAGTCGCAAATATTATTATTATTATTATATTCAGTGAAGGGTAATCTGTTAATATATATATGGACACTATCACTATAACAAAGTTAACCTCGGACAAGGCATTTTGCAATCTCTGTAGCAATGCATAGTGCAAATTTTGGATTTGTTTCGTATATAATATGATTCAGTGGTATATGATAGAAAATAAGAGTAACTGAACATCGGCGGCAAGAATCAGATAAAGTACATAAAGCAATTATCAGATAACACACGAATGGTGTGATAAATGTACACTTCAATACGAATCTGTCAATTGTCTTTATTTTGTTTTATGGCAACATACGGTGATATTTCTCATAATGAAAGATGTCATTATTGTTCAGTTTTACAATATCAGAAAATAGATCGGACACTTTTGAAAAGCTTCAATACAGCCTTGAACACGCAATTCATCGCAAAACATTCCCAGGTGCAGCCCTCACAAAAAAAACAAAAAAACGTTGTGTCGAATGATCACGCAATGTATAGAAATCTTAAATGTTTTTAATATTATTATTATTTTGTTCGTATGCATTTACTATATTTGCTTCATAATTGCTCAATGAAATTTCCCCCCTTCTCTTAATTACCCCCATCCCTACCTCCCAAAATTGAAATTCTGTATTTCATAATGCTTTTATTTAATATATGTAGTAGCCGTAATAACATAATTATAAATGTCAAAAGTGGAATATTTGCTGACTATAAAGACTTTGCAACGTAAGTTTTCTACATTATTGCTTTAACTTTATAGCTTATTTTAAAAGAAACAGGTAACCATTTTGATAAGATAAACGTTCTTAAGTGAGAATAGGAATCTTAGAGCCAACTATTAAAATATTTACTGATTATCCCGTGTGTAATAATTGCTCCAACACCAGGCACAAACTGTTTTGTTTTTTCATTGAGACTCACATTATTTGTGTAATCGTGGAAACATTGTCTTTGAAAATAAAGGTACTACCATAATAACATGAATCGTACGAAATCAAACGACACTACCTGAAACTGACAACCGTTGACCAAAATGTTTTAAAGGGCTGGATACAAAATCACCCCTGCACAATACTGTATTTATGAAATGTATTTATGAGTGCTTAAAATGTCGCTCAAAATAACAACGTGGGTTCTGATGATAACGTGAAAACATCGCCAGCAGCCCTTGTTAATCTAAATCAGTTTTCATTGTTTTATTTATCAAAAAGTAAATCACCGACTGGTAGATGATTATGACAATAGAAATAGAAATTTTCCTACGCAGCAGTTGTTCTCGGACTATATAGTGAGGGCGACGGGACGACGGTGTTACTTCAATAATTTGTTGTCATAAGGGGCTGCTAACTAAAGGTAAGAGTCTTTTCTTTCATTATTTGATTTGATTATTATTAACATTGATCATGCAAATGAAAGTTAATGTTTATGTTAGGTAACTTATTTATATGCAGGCGTTTGTCATGTAGTTACTTGGTACTTCGAAAAAATACTCTAGAGTTAATTTCAATATACGAAATTTGTTCATTTGAAGGCTAATTCGGATGTTTTAATCTTTTCTAGTACTCACTTAAATTCAAATTATTTTGAAACATTCAGTTGTTAATCACAGAGTTAATGTTTCACATGCACTGAGTTTATTTATTTTTCAACATGGTAACATTTGTTCATTAAATAATATCTGTGAGTAGTACTGAAATTTCTGACGCTGTAAAACTAATTTCATTAACTGTTCAACAAATATATCGTATATCTTCTTTAACATAAGGCATTTGTTTGCGAGACGTTTAAAATTATAATTTATTCTGAAATAACACTGGTATTTGTAATTCTTGCATATGGATAAATAAGATAAATAACAAACATTACAATTACGAATTATCACAGAATTCCATATTCAAAAGAGTTTTATTAATGTTACTAAATGATAAAAGAAGACATTTTCTATAAAGGAATGATACTTTTATTTTGTGAACTAGAATGAAGAAAAGTAATGATATCTAATTTAATTAAATACATTTTGGTTTAAGAGAATTGAAAACGAGTTTTCTTGTCTGAATGTTTGTTTGAAACAGCAAAGACATTTTGAATTCTATATTCGTATGTACGTATCAATGTTGTGGCTATACTAATCTGACAAAGTCGGGAAACAATTAATGATGCTAAGTCGTAAGAATGAGCTTGCAAAAGTAATGGATTTTTTAAGTTATGACCGTGTATATCCAGTTACACCCAAATGTGAAAATAACGCACGATTCGTGCACAACTTAACGCAGAATTGTGAAATAAACGGCGGATACCAGGCAGCATTTCCAGCGCGGTAAGTTAACTGGTTCTAAATTTAACGAAACTGAAAAAAGGAATTATGGCTGCAAAGGCATGATACTTTATCCCTCATCAAGATTATTTCCACGAAATTGCTTACTTTTCAAGATCATTCGTGAAAATGATGACTTGACCGTTTTTAAGTGTGATATTGGCTTTTTGTCGACTCTTATTATTTTCACATTGCAGCGTGACTGGATTTACACGTTGTTGATGGAGTTTAATAAAACGTTTGTATTGGTTTTCTGCCCAACTTAGTAGGCTCTATAGGCACCGTGATATAAACTGTGCAACATAAATGACAATATAAAGTGGAGGAAGAAAAGATGTGAATATAGTATATAAAATAATTAAAGTATTTACATGTATATGCTTCCATTGTCTACTTTACTTTTACAGAAACATCAGTCTATTAAAGTCACAAACAAATTAAAGATGCAAGTCTTGCATGCGTTTATTTGCATGGTGCTGTTGCTAGGCAACACCTTCGCCGCATGCCCACATACACAGACTGGTCTGAAAAAATGGTCAGATGCTGCCACCTGGGGAACAGCCGGGAAAGTAAGTTCTAAATTTGTTTGTATCTTTGGCTTGCTTTGTTGACGCCAATTTTAACAAACTTTTGTTATATCCCGGCGGCAGATCCACCAAACCGGCTTTCTTGGATTAAGACGACATAAGATGATATACCTGTAACATGTGAAGTGTCTCAGCCACAATAAGTCCTTTACATTTTGCCGTCTTTTTTTCCAACTTTCTTCACATTTTGGATCCAATATCACTTTTTATATGGACCGAATTTCCTAGATTTGTCTTTTCAATTTAATTTTGAATATATTAATGTATTTTCTTTTTAATATTTTCTCGTTTTAAGTGCCCACGTTAATCCATTACAGACACTATTTAGCAAGAGGCGTTAAATGCAATGCATTTTCACCAGTAAACTTCAATTAAAATGAATACGATTTCAAAAGGTATGCCGTATGGTGAAAAGATTGATACGATATTTAAAACACTTTGAAATACATGTCCTTTTATTTTTCTTCTGTACAAATTAACGTTTTTCAAAAAATCATTCCTTTTATTTTCAGCCGACGGAAGGACAAAATGTCGTCATAAATGATAAGATTTTAATGGATGAAAGTCCGCCATCTTTGTACAACGTCACAATAAATGCCGGTGCATTGCTGACATTTAATCCTGACGTCACCATAGATTTCCGTGCCGGGAACATATTTGTAGATGGAACATTTGAAATCGGAAGTAGCGATTGTCCATATAACGGCTCACTTACCATCACACTTACAGGTATCGTACATTTTTCTGTCTTTTACTAAGAATATAAATGTCCTTAAATTTATCACAATTATTTGATACTATATAGAAAAGTGTTGAATACGGATGGCATCACGTATATGATGAGTTTTTACTTATATATACATGAATGACAAAATACTTTATTACATACTTCTGTATGAAATATTGTGAAATATTGATAAAATAAAATGCATATTTTATCATCTTTATTTTCACTGTAAAAGTGAAGCATATTTTCCGCATTTTTACATTTTTACTGGTGTACCGGATTACTTTCTTTTAAATTCAGTCAATAATAATACATGTATCTAAGGGGAGGTTATTCAAACTGTAATGTCTAAAAAGAGAAAAATGTATACTAAACAGAAAATTCAAAAGAAATATTGAATAAACACAAGATTTATCTGCATATTGTGGTATGAAAATTATCATATTTCACTCGTGGCTACCATCACACATAAAATATTTATTTACATGCAACTCGATTAAAATAAATTCTGTATTTCTGGGAAAACTTGAACATCCTCTATTTATACCAGTAAAGTTGAACATTTGTCTTATATAATATGAACAGTTTTAAAATATTGACTGCGATCTAAACTTATTACACTTGGTAGGAACTCGACAAGAACATGAAGGAGAAGCAGAGCCGAAGGGAATCATAGTGAATTCAGGAGCTACCTTTAACATTTATGGCGAGCCTCGGTTGGCTTGGACCAAGCTGACTAAGCATATTCGACCCCCAACAACAAGGGCAGATGGCATTTTATTCGAACATAAGGTAATTAAGGAGAGTGAGAGAAAGTTTGGTCAGCGGATCTTGAATTTCTGAGTTTAATATATATATTTTGTTTATTGAAGTTTACCCACTGATCATCGTTTTCTTACCTAGTTGAAAAACTGGTTAGAACCAGTTATAGTTTTATAAAACTTATTTTCATATTTTATGTAACTGGACGTCCCACTTCTGGGGTAAAGCTTTTAAACTCAATTATAGCTTTAAATTTATTGAATTAAACCAATAAGGTACAATATGCTGATTGACAGAAATTATATCTAGTAATCGAATAAAAACAAAATCTGTCAATGAGACAGCACACTCGATTTAGTAAATGCTTGACGCAGTTAAAACTAAAATAACAATTAATTGATAATTCCCGTGATTAATATTAAGATAAAACTAAAATGTCAACACTTTTAACATTTAATTACAGGCATGTAAATGAAACTCAGTCATAAAATGCCGACAGAGATTTCTATGATGTAATTGGGTGAATAGGACAGTTCCCTAATTGCCTGTATTGTCGAGCTCAAAAGAAAATAAGTTCAGATATCTGTAGACAGACGTATTCAAACGCTTTAAAGTCTTGGATTTCTTTTCATTTTCAGGAAGCATTATCAAATTTTAAAACATTAAAATAACTTTCTTTAAAAAGTTTAGTTATTAGAAGAGTTGTTGATCTATTGTAAATGTGAATATATATGATTATTTGTTTAGCTCGAACCAAGTTACCAGGTTGACGGAAACGGTGTGTTTGCCTATACATTTACGATTAACGGAACTGACGTCACGGTGAAGACATCTGGGCTTTATTTTATGAAAACCCAGGCTACTGAACTGGCTGCACAAATAAATGGTAAGTAAACCAATGAAAGTATTGCATTCACCATTTTCTCGTGCAGACTCTGTATATTCCATTTCCTATTTGTTTATCTGAATAAGAGCAACAAATTAAAATACTGTAATTCAATACACTGATGTTTTTTTTAAAACTTCCTCTTTTTAGCTGCTTCTGTCCATCGCTTGTTTATTTAGTTAAAACTACTTCTGATAAATTGCTCAAACATTGTCTTATAAACGTAAAGGTCTGTCAGTAATCAAATTTACAAGCTACGCGCTAATTTGCGCGGTAAATAGCAGCTGCTATTGATTTAAAAAATTTGAAACTAATTTTGGCAGGTATTATGCTTACTAATTATCACATCTTCTGGGCCTTTTCCGTCAAACTTCAGATAAGATAATAGCCGACAGGTTCCGATTGGGTTTACTTATTTTGGATTATGTTCGGTGTGATACAAATCTCGATACTACTAGTATATCAGATCTTATAACCTTATATGATATTTTATGTAAGTTATGTCTTCACAGCTGTCGCTGATGGCGAGGTTTTTATGCTGGCCTCTCAGGAAAAAGTGTCCTACAAGGATCCAAGCAAACAAGACACTTCGGCGTTTGAAGCTTTAGAGACATTAGCTGGAATGTCTGGAAATTGTCTCCTGCGAAGCGTTACACAAGATGGCGCCACCTACGCATTCATTATTAAGAAAGGTAAATGTAGGCATTAACTTATTTAATATTATTTGTCAATTAAATCAACATTGTGAATGCATACAGGCTATTATAAAATACTGTAATTACTAATTACTTTATTAAAGATATAAATGCCGATCTAGTAGCTTTACATGAAATTCAAATTTTTATGCTTCTTTTTGCAGATGACACTGTATTGTTTTCCTACTCTTTAACAGGATTGCAAACATTGCTTAATTAGTTACATTTTTTTGTCTAAAATGGAACATTACTGTAAATACGTCGAAAACTGTAGCTATGGTATGTAAACTTGGAAACAGACGTGAAAATATTGATGTTTATTACGATAATGCTCAACTTAATGTTGTCAATAAATTTTGTTATCTAGGTGTAATGTTATCAAGTAATGGAAAGTTTTATAATGCTCAAATAACTTTGTCTGGGCAAGCACTACGTGCCCTATTTACTCTTAACTGATTATTTGATGTTGTATCTCTAGCTGTCTCAGAAAAGTTGAAATTGTTTGATGCAATGATTTTGCCAATTTTAAACTATGGATGTGAACTATGGGGATTCCATAAAGCCCCTGATATTGAAAAAGTGTACATAAGATTTCTTAAACAGATATTGCATGTTAGACAGCAAACCACTAACATTACTGTATATGCTGAACTTGGTAAAGTACCATTAGATATAATTAGAAAAGAACGTATTCTTAAATATTGGTGTAAAATTGTGAATTCTCCAAATACAATGGTGCACAAAAGTTTTATAGATAGTAAGACAAACAATGTTAAGGATTCTTGGGCATTATTTGTAAAATCATTACTAGAAAACTTAGGTTTGGCATATTTATGGAGTTGTATTACCATTTCTCAATATCAATTGAATGCTGTGATCGAAAGATTGTATAGTCAATATTATCAAGATTTATACTCAATGATTGACACAATGCCAAAACTGAGTACCTATAAAATTATAAAAGATTGCATTGGATTTGAAAAATATTTGACGTGTGTCAAAACTGATGCTTATTGTATTGCATTGACTAGATGAAGATGTTCATCCCATAGACTTGCAATTGAAGAAGGTCGTTTCAGAAATGTTGTAAGAGAAGATAGAAAATGTATATATTGTAAAATGAATGCTATTGAAAATGAATATCATTTTGTTCTTGTGTGCCCGCATTATCGAGATATAAGAAATGCATGTCTCCCTAAATATTATTGCCACTGGCCAACGTCTCAGAAATTTAAAATTTTGTTAACTACACAACAGTCGAATGTTTTAAATAAGTTAGCAAAATTTATATATTTAGCAAATATAAAACGCACTGCGTTTACTGATTAGATTTATATTAGTTCAAATGTAATACTGTATTACTTTTTTTGCATGTAAAGCACATAATTTTGTTTGTGTGGCCTGATAACATTTCATTTTTGTCCGTACCGATCTTGTATTATACTGGTTTATAATTATACGACCCAGTAATCGGAATATTTTATCGGACAATGAAGTAGTCACTTGCAAATAAATTTATGTGCTATCGAATCGAAATGTATAAATATGAGTGTTTCCATATACATATATGTTATAATTGACATTTATCATCATTCTTTGTATATAACATACTCTTCTCATGATATCTGTTGCCGCCTAATATATTCATTTAGGAAAAAACAGTATATAATGTTTATATGCCTAATAAAATATTGAAATTGAAATTGACTAACTACATGTAGATTTTTTGGTATTTAGGAACACCAAGCAGTCTCCAGGAAGTAACCAACCCACTTGGTACTACATCATCAGTTAAGTATAAAGACAGTGACGATCTGTTTTTCACTGCTGAGTCTATAGGGGACACAGCCATCTTTAGACAGACAGTAAATTTCCAAGTTGCCAGTATAAATGCGATTTACCCAAAGGTTGACTTACTGGATGACTGTACAACATGGCGTGATGGTTTGTACAATCTATTTAAAATTACCTCCTAAATAATGCTACGCTTTAAACATAAGAAGGTCTGAACTGAAGTCAGATTAAAATTTGCACACAGTGTTACTATATATCTTGAATTTAAACCGTGTACAGTGGTAGAAATGTTATTACTTTTCAAATTAAAACTGTTCATGGAAAGAAGTTTGTTGTGATTTTTTAATTGTGTATGTCCTTAGCTTAATATGGGTCCATCCGCCATTTTTGCACCGAGAGTACGGTCATGTCACCAATCATGCCCTTATTTTTAAGTTTTACAGTCCATTCATATATTTAAGGAATGTAAGACGCACGAGATTAGGAATTAAATTAAATGTTTACAAATGATGAAAATGTACTGCATATATAGAGATCTATTTATAGAAATAATAAGAAATAATATCAATTGAAAAAAATACTAGTGCACTGTCCAGTTTACACAGAACCATTATCAATGAAGAATATTCATTATTGTGGAAAACAAGGGAAGACTGTTGAAAATGACTCTTGTTTTTTCATGTGACTTTGATAGGTGACAAGATAGCATTTGCATCCACGGATTATGACCCTGAACAATCAGAGGAGAGGACCATTGTACATTGTCGAGATTGTACCGTCAATCAAATCAGAATCAATGGTAATTACTAACCCTTTCATAATATAAACCCACTCTAGGCTCGTGAAAATTTGGTATGTTATGCAACATTCCGTATCATATAAAGATAAGAATGACCTATAATAATAAATCTGTTTCAGTTCGCTGCTCAAAGAACATAACTTAGAAACTTAGCCCAAACTTTACGATCCATAACAAAAATGGAAAGATGCTTCGTTAAATTGTATTTGCATATGAGATTAATAGGATAAGTTTAAAATTGCGATGAAAATAAAAGTAAGGTTCTATTAATACATATGTAAGAAAATATCACCTTGATTGAATGAGCGATTTATTTAAATGGAAAAAAAAAGAAACAACTACAATATATAAACATCTGCCATTGTTATTTTATTTGTTTGAAAATACATTGTATATATTACCCAAATAGACTTGACAATATAAAGACATTTATCTCATCATTATTATTGTAATAACAAGAATCTTAATCTTTCTAAACTGTTTTTTTTTGTTGTTGTTTTTGTTTAAAGAGCCTCTGAAATTTTGGCATTATGGTCAGATCTATAAAAATCTGGACATGAGAGGAGAAGTTGCATTGTTGAGCCGTAAAATTGTGATACGCGGAGAGGTGCAGTCCACATGCCCGACATATAACGGAAACTGTGCCAAAGAGGCTGTCCGAAACATGGATACGTTTGGAGGTCACATCCTGGTGATGACTATTTAACTTGTTTCTTATAAGTATCCCAATCATAGAACATTTCATATTATTAAACTAATATATCCATTGCCTCCCTTGAACAACAAAACCCGCGATATTTTGTATGCTGATTTAAATAAAACTTCACATTTTGCACTTTGTATTTGGATGTCTACAGCTGCAGCTGAGTTATTTCCCTTTCTTAGTTTGTATGTTAAATGCTGTGTGACCCTTTATTTCATTTAAATGCTGCCAAACAGTGGTGTGTATACATGCTGTCTCATTTAAAACTGTATTTAAAAAAATGTGAAGTTTCCCATTATCTTTTTACTCTCAGTGATTTTAAGCAAATAAAAATATGATTTCTTGCTTTTCAGTTATTGAAAGGATTTATATCGGCTAAGATCGAGAACATCGAACTGTATAATATGGGACAACAAATGAATCTAGGACGTTACCCAATACATTTCCACTTGTGTCTGGGGGATGCAAGGGGCTCATATGTTAAAGGCTGCAGTATCCACAACACGTTCGCTAGATGTGTTACAATACATGCCACGCACGAAATCTTGGTATTGTCTCAATAATTGTTTTCTCATACAGTCAAACCTGTAAATAAAGGCCACATAAAGGATAGACAAAATATGGCCTTTCGTCACAGGGTGATTGTTATTCAGTTGTGGTCTTTAACACAGGTTTTACAGTAATTAGAATATTCTAGGCTTATAATTAAATTTATGTCATGAAAATCACATTTGTAGAATACAACGAATGTTTTTCTCGTAGAAGATACATAAAGAAGAAATGTGTGTTGTACGGTACTAGTTATTATTTTCTGTCTGGATATACCGGTTAATACATTGCATACACATAAGCATAGTTTCGTCCGAGGCATACATTTCTCAACCATATTAAACTTCTCGCTCTCGTTTTTCTTTCATAGCAATTCCTTCACATATACACGTATATTAATCTATTTTACCATGACGTATTTTTTTCTTAGTGTTGTTATATATCCTAGGTACAAGACAACGTATGTTATGATCACCTGGGACATGGATTCTTCTTGGAGGATGGTGCCGAATTCAACAATACATTCGACGGTAATCTTGTGTTCAATACCAGGAAGGGAACTGGTGATCTTGAACCTAGCGATGTGTAAGTAGCATTCATGAGACACTAGAAGTACAAATCTGGTTTTAACTAAGAAGCTTCTGGGAAAAAAGATTGTATTATGACACAGCAGACAAAATGAAATTTAAAAATCTGGATGGTTTAAATTTTCTCGTTCATTAATGGAACGAAATTCATATGTATGATTTAGTCAATCAAAACTTTAAACATAGGACTTCGGGTCTTGATGTCCCCTGATGTCCCACCTTATCAGTTTGTAAGTTCAACAGGATGAATACCGTTCTTAAAAAATTCTAATTATTTCTTTATAAAAATGGCAATAACTTAATATGAAAGGAATGCGAATTACGAATGTCATCACAAAAATATGATTAAACATGTTATGAAATTTATTATTTTTTTATATACATGTATATATTTTAGAGAACCCGCCGGCATGTGGATAACGAATCCTCACACGTACATTCGGAACAACGTAGCGGCTGGAGGAGAAGGTTTCGGTATCTGGGTGCTGTTCCCGCTCGAACCCTTACCACCATCAAGACAGTACAACCTAATGTCACCTTATGAAGCCAGAAAAACGAATCTACTCGAGTATACCAACAACGTGGCTCACTCTAACATCGGGGTATGTTTGAATCCATAACACTTCATTTTAAACTAAGAAAATAATGAGAAAATGATAAATTGAATGATTGATAAAATGATTGATAATATCATTTATTAAATGATTGAGAAAATACTTGAGAAAATGACTGTGAGAAAAAACTCAGGAAATGAATAATAGAATGGCTGATAGTGTTATTTACAAAATGATTGAGAATATAACAAAGAAATGATTGAGAAAATGATTGATAACATGATTTGAAAAAATGATTGACTTAATGATTGAAGAAAAACTTAATCAAATAATTGAGAAAAGGATTGAGAAAATAATTAAGAAAATGATTGATAAAATGATTAACATAATGAAGCAATGCTTAATTAAATGATGGAGGACATGATTGTTAAAATAGAAATACTCCAATTTCGAGCTTGGTATACATGCATAAGTTGTCAAATGTAGGTGACTATATAGAATGATGCTGTCATTTTTTTTAAATATTCACATTAATTTTTCCACATTTTTCAGATGGGCATGAAACTCGGTGGAAGAATTGAGGAAGATCGCACCACATATTGTTGTAATAACTGGCAACCATTGGAAAATCCAAAAGATAATGGTTCCAAGCCAATCGATGTATACTTTGAACGTATTTCAGGTATGTCTGATTTGAAATATAACATATGTTTAATGCCGAACATTTATTTGATGTCTTTTTAACATGCCGTTTATTCCGGTATTATTAGGTTATATTATTAGTTTTAAAGATTTTTGACAGGCTATATGGTTTATATAACCTGTCAAAATCTTTATAACAAATTTATAATATTGTAATTAATTAATAACTTTACTTATAACTACTTTTATAAATCGACTGCGTTCATGTGAATAGATTTTATAATACTGCACGTTTGTAACGTCGCTTTTCATTGGATAGTCGTGACGTTTATGTAGTTTTATATACACGGCTGTTGTCGATTCATAAAGAAATCTTACTTTTTTCTCTAAAAATGATGTTTGCTGTATTATAAATTCGTTATAAAGATTGTTGATATGTTATATGGCCGTATATAAACGTATATTTACAAACAGTCGTTTATATACGGCCATATAACCTGTCAACAATCTTAATAACGAATAATATACACGTTACGACTATCCAATAAAAAAACGAAGCACAGTGCAGTATTATAATATTACAGATACTGTAAATAATAGTTATGAATATTAAATGATAAAGAATATCATTTTTTCGTGACAGGATACAAGAATAGTAAATTTAACCTTTGGTTTGAGGGCAGTTTACTCCAAGTGTCGAAAATTTCGTAAGTACAATCTCAAGTCGGAGGAAATGTAACATTTAACAAACTTTGTTTGCATGTAGCCAGTTAAGGTCAGCATCAGATATCAATGAATTGGGTAAAAATATCTTTAAGACTTTGAAATTTGTAAGATTTACTTGTATTGATTTGAAGTTAAAAGTGAGTTTCGTTAATAAAACTTGATAACAAAATATTGCGGAGGTAAATCTATCTACCGTCAATGCCCTCCTAACACCGTTTAATGCAGCTCAACTGTCAACGTGAAAATGTTGTTTTTTCCATCATAAATATATTACAACATCTGATAAAATCATAAAGTAGTAATTTCATTCCGTGCAAAAAGGTCTCCAGTGTGTGACCTGAACAACGAGCGGAACTAAATAAATCGGAATTTGAAGAAGGAATAAGAGGTGATGAAGCCTGATACAGTATCTGGTCCAACTGTATACAACTGCTGGATAACATAGCTTTGTGTTGGTGACATAGGACTATCATCATCTAAACTATCAGTTATATATAATAAAAGAGAGTAAACGTAAAAGGTTTTTGATGATAAATGTTCTTTATACAGCCTGATACTTACTTACGTATTGTTTAATAGTTTAATGTGTACCAACATACAGCTAATGGTTTATTTAATTGTTTTCAGGACAGCTGACAGTATTAGCGGTGTTATAATCTCAAAGTAAGTCTATGTTTGTTTTCCTGAACGTGATAGATTAATCTAATTTAACATATGATTTGTACAGTTATTTTTTTATGCCATACCATGTTATTTTACATCAGCATACTTTAATTGTTTTCAAGGTGTCTTTCGAAAGTCATAAGTTTTCAGTCAATTAATCAACTTCTAAGACATGTCTATACATAATTGCTTTTATTAAAAGAACAAGGATACAAACGGAAAACGTTACAGAAATGCACGTGAGTAGTTTGTAACTTGAGATTTTATACTTAATTGAAGAACAACATAATTGTCAGATGCTATAATGCATATTTTCCTGTGTTTCTATTTAGCGAAAAGATGACAGCATTTGCGGGAAGACTTCATCATTCCGTAATTATAGGAGAAAGCGACAATTACGGTGTTCCCGGAGTAAACTTCACTAGAAGCTTCCCATTACATGGAAAAATGTAAGCATTGATCAGAGATGAAAAAATTAATACACGTTAAGAAAAAAAAAATAACAAGAGAACTATTTTTTTTTAGAATCTTATTACAATCAAAACATCAGTCGATGTATATATCATTAAGATTATAATGTATTTGACTTCATTATATGTGTGGCACAGTGTAAAGTTTGATATTAAAACTACTTCTATTAAAACCGATTTGCAACATACATGCATTTGACCCTACCACCATTGACTACCATCGAATAATTGATGACTTTAAATGATAGAGTTTTGTAACAACGACTCCCATTTATTATTTGCATTAACATAAATTATACGTCATTAGAATCAGGTTGAGAATTTTTCAAGGACATTTGTTTTGGAAATTATGCCCCTTTGTTACTCTTAGTTCTGGCGGCGCTTTCACAAGTGTCATTTCGTTAAGACACGAGAACTTGCAGCATGAGCTGAATCTTTCCGGAATAATGAATAAATAACTATTTCAGCTATGATCCACATTCTGGACTGGCAATGTGGAGAGGACCATGTAGATATGATAACCTCTACTTTGACGGCTACCCGCCAAATAAACATTATGATATTGCAGCTATAATGAAGAAGAGAGTGGAACGCTACTATTTCTCGGTGACAAATAATTTCAAAGACATACAATTTGCCTTTGATGACGAGGTAATTTTAGTCAAGTTGCAAATACATTTTGTTAATAATTGAACATTTATCGTAATTTAAGACACTTAATAAAACAATTAGAATAGTAAATCATATGCTACTCATAGCCGATGAATTTCTTTGAGTTTCTTACAATGTTATCCAAAATTGTATGATTTTTCTTGTATTTTTAAAATAATTGCTGCTGTTAGGACAGCAGTAAACCATTTTATCCCTACGTGCTGTTAGAATTAATAAATGTATGCATTTTCTACATTTTAAAGAAATTTGAAATATGTATTGTATTTAAAATCATTTGTAGAACGAGCTTTACGCTCATTGATTTGACCAAATGAAAAATTAAAAGCATACGAAATTAATCAAGTATCAATTTACACCACAGCCTAATGGTGCCGCTTACGCCATGTCCGGAAACAAGACGGATATAGGCTGGGAGAAACAGAAAGATGGAGAACTAGTAATGGGTTTTACATGGTATAAGAAAACGGGCAATGTAACGGAAAAATGGTATATAGTTAAGCCAGACGTTTTGTCCCGAACTGCAGACGATTGCAAATTGAGACCAAATTGGAGATTGGCGTTTTGCAAGACCAAATATGGAAATGTAAGATTGTAGTTACAATTTTCGGAATTTATGGTTGCTTAACCTTGTGTCAGAATGGTAGTGAAATTTTTTTTATTATTAGACAGATGTTTTTAACATTTACATCTGCAGCGTTCACGTCAGAAATGAAAACTTTTAATGTCGTCTGCTTTTTCTCAATTTGAATTATTATGCCACCATCTCAAGATGATCTCTTTAGATTTTATTTTGTTTGAATTTTACTTCAAGTTCCGAGTAAACGGAAATTTCTTCAATCTGGGATCACGTGGTATTTACGTCCTCGACAAATACCCTGTCGGACAACAGGAGTATATTCTGGAGAAGGCAGGGGGGCCTCAAATTGTAATTGATGGGACTCGGTCTTACACATTCCATACAGTAGGAGAAGTTCCGAATTGGATGAAAATGACAGCAGAAGGACTTGAAGTGTAAGAATTTTGTCCGTCATAATTACAAAACATAAAATAGTACGCTAGAATCTTTGTTTCTGTTAAACTGATTATAAAAATTACCACATAATAGGACTTTCATTTTTCTATAAAGGTTCGTGGATGGTTTTTTTCAAGAGTTGCTTTTAGTATATCAAGCTACAAACAAACAAACAAAAGTCAATGAAAGAAGACGATACTGATATTATTGTAAATAAATTACTTCAGGGGAGACAAAGTAAGAATAGGTTTTTGTGTACCTAAAGGAGCAACATGGACATTAAGCTCCTCGTACCCTCTGAAATTAAAAAAAATGGCCGATTTCATAGAAGTAGATTCACTCGCTGAACTTGACAAAGACGAGCCTGGCAGGAACGGAAAGAAGTATTACTTCGACAATGCCACTAGGTATATTCGTTTTATTATGATATTTTACAATTTGGCTTCATTTCACGAACGGTTCAGAATACATGCCTCATATCATGTGCAGCATTTAATTATTTCACATAAAGAAGCTATCCAGCAGGTACTTTTTCCTTCTTTTGCATACAATCGCTTTTGAGTAGGTTAACTATGTATCTTGTCGGCAAGCTGTATGATGAAGGTTGCCAAAATGTAAACGTTTACAGAGCCCGTGCGACTTGAAATTTACCCAGGCATCTTTGTTTCCGTATTTCGATAGAAAAATCATTTTATAGAGTTCGGGTGCCACGCTAAGACAAAGGCATGATCACCTGTTGTTATCCAACTTATCACAAATTGCTTGATATGAGGTCTTTTATACCAGGGTATCTGTCGTCATAGCTTTACACAATTTTATCATGCTCACCTCAATGGCTCAAATTAACCCGATCAGCTACAATGCTCAAAGCTTATAAATCTGACATATTACTTGATCTTGTGCTTCTCAACAAAAGTTATATAAAGTATTGTCCCATGGTCACATATGATCTATGGCACTTATGGTCATTTAATTGCTTTTGTGGAGATGGGAACCTATTAACTTCGAGTTGTTATTGAACAAAATGTTCGTTGACTGTGAAGACATCAATGAAGAAAGAAATAACTTACATACCACATAAGTAAAAAAGTATTATTGTCACTAAAATCTACAAACACCTTAACTTATTACAGTAATTTTAATGTAATTTTCCCGCTCCTAAATAAAACCGGCATTTAATTTCTTTATTAATAGAAATATAATTTAAAAAAATGAAATTTTATCAACACGCAATGTATGTACATATTTATTTTGCACAAACCAGCATGGTTTACTACAAATTCTATGGTGCTACAAACCGATCAGAGAATGATAACCAGGTATGTGGTGGTGGTATATGCCCGATGATACAGCTCACATTGGCTGGTAATCTTTCTGCAAACAATGGCGATTGTAGGTCTACCCTTTACAGCGCAGAGCAGATGGCCCTTGTCCCGGTAAGTTGAGCTAGTTCATAAAGGAAACAACAAAATAAGCAAATTAATTATGTCGCTTGCACAAGAAATTAACAGTGTATGTCAGATAAGGATTGTACATATTTACAGTCTCGGCTAGCCGATAAGATTGAGTAATTTGTTATCATAGTACCTAACATTCTGTCAAATGAGCAGCTGATGAATTTATATTAGTTAAAATATTCTCAGTCAATTACTTTGAACAAGTATCTTGTTTTGCTCATATGTATATGCACTTTAATTCAGTTTATTCATCCGTCGTATCAATGTCACACAAATTTATCAAGTAAGAAAATAAATGTTCAAAAGTTGTCTTTCCTTCAAAAGTCTTTATATAGTTAAAATAAATCATTGTAAAATCACAATTATTGTATAACTAACAACTATATTTTTATTTACCAAAAGCCTGAGTTACCATTACTGACTGAAACGTTTGTGGCAAATGCTGGACCAGAACCTCCTGCGGTTTGTAAACTTATCATTTTGTTTTATAATCAATTACTTAATGTGGTTATCAATTAATTTATTGTCTCAGCTGAAAAGCAGAATAACTAATCTTGATAATCTGGATAAAGTTATATCTGTCATATTGTCCAAACATTGTCCTTAATATTGTCTAAGCGTTCACCTTAACAGTGTCCAAACATTGTCGTTAACACTGTCCAAACAATGTCCTAAACTTTGTTCAAACATTGTCCCTTAACATTGCCTAAACGTTGTCCTTATCGTTGTCCTAACATTGTCCTTACCATTGTTCAAGCATTGTCTTTTAAACTGTCCAAACATTGTCCTTACCATTGTCCTAATACATTGTATTGTCCTTACCATTGTCCTAACATTGTCCTTACCATTGTCCAAACATTGTCCTTACCATTGTCCTAACGTTGTCCTTGCAATTGTCCAAACATTGTCCTTAACATTGTCTTAACATTGTCCTTCATGCATTGTTTAATTTCAGTTTGGTGCTGGGAAGGTTGAGTTTCTCGCGGAATTGCTACTATAAGTTAGGGGTTTAGGTGTTTTTGCGGGAATTATTCGAAGAATTTGATAATCATAAAGACAATGTAAGCAACGTGTATATTGTACGTCATTGTCGGGGAATCAACCTTAAAACAAATATGATACTCAGTAATATACATTATTTTTATCCATTTCAAAATCGTAACTGTTAACTTTGATTTGTATTTTACTACCTGTATGTACATTAATGTAAAATAATATCATTGGCTATTGTGCTGCATTGGATAATATGAATTTATGACAACCCACTGGTCTTGAAAATATTTACAGGATTTCGGTCACGGGTCTTCCCGACCTTTTACTAGTCGATCAGCAGTAAATGGTAAAAACGGCCAATGGTCTGAGTGGTCATCTTGTTCGGTAACTTGCGGAAGTATGTCTTTTTTACCATATTAATTTCAGTTTCAAAATAAATATATAGTAATGTTAGCAGAGATTATGATGAATTTTATTTTTCATTAATTCAAATGTTACAATTTTTTGATAAAATGATGTTTGTTTATAAGAGTTGTATACAGTTAAACATATCATGTCATTTTCTTAGATTGAATATGAATTTTAAAATATTTTTTTTTCCCACTTTTGTTTCGTTAATGCTTTCGTAAGGTTAATCTATGTCATGAAAATTATAACTGAAATAAATACATTACAGGTGGATATCAGTATAAAAAACGTGAATGCAACAACCCGATGCCGCAACATGGTGGAACCCCGTGCCCCACACCCCATTATAGAGAGCGCAACTGTAAATTAGATGCATGCACATGAGGTTATTTTTTTTCAAAATAATTATTTTTCATAAAATGAATATCAATGCTTAAATAATTATAACTCAAGAAACAAAAATAAAATCGCAAAATGATTGAATCCTCTTCATGGCATCAAGGTTTTTGCACGAACACATTGATAAATTTTGCGAAGGGTTTTCGTCAAAAATAAAGTTCGAGAAATTATGCGTACAGTAGAAAAGATATACATTCCATTACGTTGGTGGTCTAAGAACTAAATATGATTGTCCTTGGTCACCAGTATAAAACCGGACTAGTCTGTATACCGGTATCCGTTCAGGTCTAATCTACTGGTAGCTCATTTTTGTATTTTGATATTTAAAACCGTTAATCTTCGGATGGACTGTTAAAATTTCAAAGCTTGGCGAACCCAATACACGAATTCAGCCGGTTATGCTCAACAAGCATATGTTCTATTTATTTTTATCATTGAATTAATGTTATAGGTTACCTAGACACCGAAAGACAGTGTAAAATTCAAAAAGGTGGCCAACGTGATCTCTTTCAGTTTTTATTTTTCACTCAAAGCACTGTTGTTCAAATTGAGTCTGTCCGAGTGTTACTTGGTTGGTTTCCTGATATCAATATTGATAAAATATTCTACTAATCTGCTTCTAACCTGATATCTAATATACATATTCGTATGTTTATACCTTGTGTTTAACTTTCCCGACCTGAACTTAGGTCAATGCCCCCATTTTCTTTAGATTAAAGTACTTGCACATTTTGTTCTACGTATACAACATTGAATTTGAAATCGTGGCCCCATCGTTTACAATACAACAACTTTTTGTCGTAAAGTATTTTTAGTTTTAGACAGTGAGTATTATAAACTAAACTGGATTCAATCAACAGAGACATATTTACAAAGACTTGATACAATGTTTTATAAAATTGTCTTTCTTCTTTTTTTTTCAGAAGGAAGTCGTCCAACAAAAAATGGATATATGAGACCTAAGATTTTATGATATAAGTAACAACTGTAATAAACTTATACGAGTAGCATTCCATTTTGTGTTTTCTTTCCTTAACCCTATTTAGCTACCGAGTATTTATTTCAGACCCTGTTGTTATGAAAGCAATAGCCTTTTTTAATTGTGACATCCTCAAAACTAGCAAAAGGATGGCTTCTTAGGAGAAGAAAAAACAAGTACATTTTGCTGAGATACAAATGTTACTGCTGTAATAAACATTAATTAATCTTTTGATAAATATATAACATACTAAAATTAACGTGAAACGACTAAACTGTCATGGCATGGTAATTTACTGCTTTTAATAAAGACTATTCTAACTATGGTTGGTGAATTTCAAGCAGACATTTTAACAATGAGGAATTGAAGACAACTTATACTGAAACGCTTCACAACTGTTGTTTTCATGAAAGATTTATCCCGCTTGGAATGAGTTCTTCAATGAGCTAATTTTCATTTATTTTCAATTTCTTTTATACAACTGATTAGCTTGTACATTTAAACATTACTTATGCTTCATATCATATAAATTACAATTCGATTATCAATATCAGCTATTGGCTAAAACAAAAGAAAGTAGGTGTTATAAAATGCGAGTTAAATAAACGACGGAAATATGAAACCAATGGTGTATCTTGAGAGTTTCCCGACAAGTTCTGTGGATGCAACAAAACATGTACTTTCTTTATCAGACTTATTTAGCTCCTCCAAATAATTTTTTCTTGTTGTCCCTAATCTTATTCCTTTGTCTGCAAGAAGCAAAATGGAAATGAGAGTCGCCCTTTTTGTGTTCTAATTAGTACGCGAGACATGCCATGGTGTGTGTGCCTTCGCACAAATAGATCTAAATAAATACGGAATTTTTAAAAGTACTACTTATATACACTTAATAATAATTATTACATACAAGAAATTTCTTTACTATACTAGTCAACTTTTGCTAAGCACCATATGTTTGAGTGTGATTATTTTTTGGGATGATTTTATCAACGCCGTGCGAAAGGTTTTAAATGTTGATTTACTGTTTTATCAATTCAGTTGGACGAATTTAATCCTATAAATGAGTTTTACACCGATTTTGTGCTTGAGAAGAGGGTGACCCCCCTCTTTGAGGATTTGATTACAGAATTTGATATTTTTGTTCACAGTTCTAGACTTAATATCGTGTATGTGACACGTGACTATCAATGCCAGCTTGGCAGCACCTTCTCATACTCTCTATTAGGTGTTTGATCAACAGACGGTAGGATTTAGTTGTACAGCACTAATTAGAGATAAGATGTACAATTTTCAAAGCAATACAACACTTGCATTCAGACGGTAATTCTACACTGTAGGAATCAGCTGAGGTTTCCCTAAAAGAATCCCTTTACATTGATCCTTTACATACTTTACTCACTAAATACCTTTTTCGCCATGAGAAATGATTGAAACACCTCCATTTAAAAAAATAAATAATGTGAAGCCTGACCGAGACTCAAATCTGGGACCCTTGGAATACCGTACTGCGGCTCTACTGACTAAGCTATCCGGCCACTTACAAACTACCTCCCCTCCCCTAACTAGAGAACAGTTCACTACCGTGACATAATCATTTTCGGAATAATTTGGGATTCGAACATAACACAACTTTGGGTCTCCTGAAGAGTTTTTCAACATCATTTTTACCCCATCTTACTACTATGTTTACCTTTTAGCCCTAATTGTTCTGGAATTTCATTCATTACACCCATTATCAGGAGATAATTTGGTAATCTGTTACTTGTCATTGTGGGAGGTCTGTAGAAATCTGTACGACAAGATTTTCAAAATAGAACATGTCCTATCCCTTACATCTAGACTTAAGGTTTCCGAATTCAAGAAATAGTAGCCTTCACACATTAAGATTTGCCTGTACATCTTAGTTTTAATTGGTGTTGTACTTCAAAATCCTACCGTCTGTTGAGGCCTTAACGGGTATGGCTGCCTATTCATTTAACAACATGACTCCAAGCTTCTGGATGGTTCTGGGTTGTAGCTGACGAGCTGAAATTCTTACATGCTGCTCATTTCACATGTGTTCTATTGGAATTAAGTCAGATGAGCGAGCTGACCAGTCCATGGGCTCAATAGACTCCCTCTCTAGGTAGTCCTGGACCACCTTGACCCTATGGGGCGAGCATTGTCGTCCATTATAATGAACTGATCGCCGACTGCTGTAGCATACAACCTAACCTGGTTGTCTAAGATGTCGTCTATGTATCGCTGACCTGTCAATGTGCCTCTATATAGCACAACCAGATCGGTTCGTCCATCCCAGCTGATGCCTCCCCACACCATAACTGACCACCTCCGTAGCAGTCATGCTCAGCAATATTTGCAGCCTTAAACCGTTCACCTCGTCTTCTCCAGACCTATCTGTGAAGCTAAGCAGAACCTGGACTCATCAGTGAGTGTTGCATGGTCCACCGTGTATGCTTTATGGTCAATTCCAAACGGGCCTTGCGATGTCGACGCGTCAAGGGGATACGTATGCACGTTTTCTCAAAGCAAATTACCTTTATGCAGCCTTCTACGTACGGTCTGCGTGGAAACACGGACTCCCGCAGCATTAGCAAGGCTACTTTGTAGAGAATGTGGTGTCGAAAACCTTGTACGACGTGCCTAAACGACCAAAACTCGATCCTGAGCTGGTGTTTTGACTCTTTGCTGAATCCAGTATGCCTCCTGGCGGGTGTACCATGTAGCCGGTATCTCTCCCGGGTCTCGTGATGACGGTGTAGTGTACACCAAGCGTCGCACCAACCTGGCTCAAAGTGACATATGTAAGAAATGTAAGCCACTGAATGACAATAAGCCGGTAACGTCGCCGTATCACAAAAGACATGTGATTGTACACCCAATCAAAAACATGAAAATATTGGGGTGCCTGCTTTCCATGCTACCGAGTTGTAACGGATTAGTCAACACAGATTCATATCAGGGGACTATCTCAAAACATTGCTGAATCAGAATTTTTAAAAATTGGAAAGAAATCTATTTTATACTTGTGAAAATATAAAAAAAAATTACTTAGGGTGCTTAACAAAGTAGATTTGTCTATTTATATGTACATAACATCTAAAGCGTTTTTTTTAGCTGATGTAAAAAAACAACATTGGTTAAAGACATGACTAATAAAAACATATAAATAAATGATTTGTAAAATTCCGTGCAATCAAAAAAGATTTGGAAACCAAATGTAAATGACATTTACCTTGGATAGTCAATCTTATTTCCTTTGTAAGACAAATATAAAGCACATTTTGAAGTGGCATTCTTAACATTCTTAACACAATTTAGCTTTTTATCATTATTTTGGTGCCACTATACTCAGCAGAAATTGCTGTGTTTCTTGAACTTGATCAGTATATTACTATGAAGACAAAAATGGTGTAGAATTTCAAATGTAATCGGCACACAAGGGTTGGATGCAGAATTAATAATTTGTAATGTAACAAAATAAAGCAGTAAATAACTGTAATAATAAGGAAAGAAAAAATATTGTTGAACTCGGAGTGAAAATGTTTCACTAACTAATGTTATCGTGAATGATTGATCCCGCTTTTAGTTTAAATATATTTATTCAAGCTCGATTGTGAAACAGGAACTTGCAACTTGAATTTATCTCTTTTGAGTTCGCTTCATGGAACTAACTAGTATTGGTGTCATATGATGGTCTTCGCCCGAAGAGCTTGAACCTTTGATCCCTTGGTATATATATCTAAAAATATTGACTTATTAATAGCATACTTAAAATTTTGAAATAGTAAAATTTTGATTTTTAAAAGAAACATGTGCATAAGCCATCGCAAGTATATGCAGGGATTTAATCTTCATGCTTGAAATACACATTTATTACATCGGGAGACAATTTCAGGATCTGCACTTATGTTCTCGTACCCGTTAAAATAAAAAAATTAGTATGTGTTGTCAAACAGAAAGTATGAATGGCATACTGGTAGCTGTTATTAGTCCCCTACCGGTTTACCGGAGGGGACTTTAGGTTTACCCTCCGTCCGTCTGTCCGTCTGTCTGTCTGTCCGTCCGTCAGTCCGTCCGTCCACAAAACTGGATCCCGCGATTACACAAAAAGTACTGAAAATATTTTAATGAAACTTGATATATGGATAGATGGCAGTATGGAGATTATGCACGTCTTTTTCTTTTCTTCCTATGTTGAAAATTCTGGTTGCTATGGCAACAAATAGACTGAAAATATGGCAAATTTTACACATAACCTGGATCCCGCGATAACGCAAAAAGTACTGAAAATATTTTTATGAAACTTGATATATGGATAGATGGCAGTATGGAGATTATGCACGTCTTTTTCTTTTCTTCCTATGTTGAAAATTCTGGTTGCTATGGCAACAAATAGACTGAAAATATGGCAAATTTTACACATAACCTGGATCCAGTGATAACACAAAAAGTACTGAAAATATGTTTATGAAACTTGACATATGGGTAGATGGCAGTATGGAAATTATGCACATCCTTTTATATCTTCCTATGTTGAAAATTCTGGTTGCTATGGCAACAAATAGACTGAATTTCAAGATTTCTGATTCTAGTTTTTAAGTTTTTTCACTATAAGTTCTTTATTTCTTAAGGTATTTTCTTCAAACTTTAAATATAAGTTGCTTGTCATCAACCACATCATATGTGACAAGGTTTACAACTCTAGCACAAAATTTATCAGAATTACCTCCCTTGAACTTAAAATTTTCATGAAAAAACATTGTTTTTTTTAATAACTTCTTTTTCTGAATGTATCTACTTCAAACTTCATATAAATGTTTCTTATTGTCACTCAACATTTGTGAGTGTTCAATACTTTAGCAAGACTATTTCCAGAATTATGCCCCTTTTGAACTTAGACTTTTTTTTGAGAAATTGGTAATTTTTACTCCAACTTCTTCAATCATGATAGGATTTTAAAAATGTTATATTTTGATAACAGGGATGTTTAAAAAATAACTTTAGAGTGTCCTTCAGTCCGTCTGTCTG